TTCTGACCCCCTCCTCCCATTTTAAATACAAAAATATGAAACAAAATAATTTCTGGGGAGGGGTGCCCCCCCCCCCCTCCCCCGGAACCCATTCCCCACTTTAAAGACAAAGATAAAATGAGAAAAAAACTTTTATCAAATAAATACAGAGCTAAAAATCTAAATCTTTTGAATACTGAACTATGGCTTAAAAAAAAAATTTCGCCCCCCCCCCCCCCTTTTAAAAACAAAAAAATAAAAAAAAAAAATTCCGGGGGGGGGGGGCCCCCCCCCCCCCTCCCCCGGAACCCATTCCCCACTTTAAAGACAAAGATAAAATGAGAAAAAAACTTTTATCAAATAAATACAGAGCTAAAAATCTAAATCTTTTGAATACTGAACTATGGCTGGTAGTTGACAAGGGGAACATCCATGAATTATAATGTGTGGAATAAACCAACAGTTAAATTTTGGGTTTAGCGGTATGAGTTGTGTCAAGAGTTGTCTCACCTTAAGCATACTGGACTTAAAGACTGAGTATGATTCATGCCATAAACTAAATATGATGATTGATAAAGTCAGTATGAAAAATATTGCAATGAAATCTTCCATTCATCTTTATTAAAACTCAACTTACAAGGTTCAAAAGAAATGAAAAAAATGAAATATATCTTTTGCTGATGCTCCAACATAAACACCAGTGTGGGGTGGGTGGGTGGGTGGGAAGACGCACGCTAAAAGTTTGGTTGAAAATTGTTTTCTATCAATAAAAGTTGTAATGTTAAGATGAACCAATTCTATTTTATATTAAGTATTAAGATTAGATACAATAAACTAGAAAATGATTTTATCCATAATTTAAAAGGCCTTCCATTTGGCAGTCATAAAAATGATATTTTATTTTTATATTTTCTCACAAAATTTTGGTTACTAATTCATTAAATAAATTTGTCTTCTAAGTTAACAAAAAAATGCAATGGATTGCTACTTAACATAGAAGTTTGTTGTCTGGTGAAAGGTGCCTGTTAATTAAATTTGATTTTTAAAAAAAACGTCTGTCCTGATGCTAGTTACATTGATTTTTAGATTGCATGGTATTATTTGATTTGTTGCATTAGAAGAAACAGTACCAACAGATAGTTCTTATATATTATCAGTATATTAATTTGAAAGGAATGATGTTACATTTCCATCAGACTATTCACCACATAGAGTGCAATTTTGGCATGTTATACATGCTTGTTTTACATAATTGCCTACTATGGTTGCTCAAAATTATTATTTGATTGATAATTTTTTTTTATACTAAACCAAATTATACCATGGCCTATTAGCAATTATATTTTGATTAATTTTTTAAATCTTAAATTGAAACATTGTATTCTAAATATATTTCAGAAACCTATTTATTAAAAATCGATTGAAATGTATTCTTTAATTCTTGCTAAAGGTTGGTGTACGAGGAAAAAACATAGTTGTGTTGGGTGTGGAAAAGAAGGCTGTAGCCAAACTACAAGAAGATAGAACAGTTAGAAAAATTGCTCTTCTTGATGATCATGTTGCTTTAGCATTTGCAGGTTTGTAAACGAAATAAAAGGGAGAACAAAAAAAATTAAAATAATTGCTATAAAAAAACTGCTACTGTCAGATTTTGAAATATGATTATAATTTGAAAGACCAAGTATTTAACATAATTTTTTTCCATTAGGATTGACAGCAGATGCTCGCATTCTCATTAACAGGGCACGTATTGAGTGCCAGAGTCACAGACTTACTGTAGAAGATCCCGTTACAGTAGAGTATATAACTCAGTATGTTGCCCAGCTGAAGCAGGTAAGTGACAGCAAATTCTACATTTCAAAGCTTAGAGGATTCACAATCAAATGGTTTTATTTAAAATTTCAATTACAATCATGAATTTTTACCATTTTGAAAGCTAACTGATTTAAAAATAAAATAAAAATGTTTGTTTTTTTTTGCAAATATTCTTAGTCACAATTGTTGGTACTGTAATAAAACTGGACAAAGCATTTAGTTTTTTTTAGGTATTGCTTTTTATGCTTTTTAATTTTTAAATTTCCCTTTTGAGAAAAGCAATATTGATAATTTTGTAATTACCTCATGTAGAAATACACACAGAGTAATGGCAGACGACCATTTGGTCTTTCTGCTCTCATCATTGGTTTTGATATGGATGGGACACCGAGGTTATATCAGACAGATCCTTCGGGGACATATCATGAATGGAAGGTATGTCTTATATCTAGGAAGGAAATGAAATCTAAGAAAATTTTGAGTACAAGGCATTATTTGAATTGTTTAACTGTACTTTTAATTTCATTTTTTTTATATTTGCTTTTCCTTCCATTGTTTCACTCACCTTTCATTTAGACAGATCATATTAAATCATATTCATAATTTGTGCAAATTCATACGTGCAGGCAAACACAATAGGGCGTAGCGCCAAAACAGTTAGAGAGTTTCTTGAAAAGCACTATACGGAAGAACTACAAAATAATGATGATGAGTGTATTAAGCTTACCCTGAAAGCTTTACTGGAAGTAGTTCAATCTGGTGGTAAAAACATGGAGGTTGCAGTCATGAGAAGAGGAAAACCTTTACAGGTAATTATTTGAGCCAAGCGCCCACTGACAAAAGAAACCTATTTTGAAAGGCATCTTTTAAAATTTAAATTAAATGGACTCTTAAAGTTTGGGCCCATGGAAACATGATTGTATAAGGTTTTATAATTATTGATGAACCAAAAAAAAAATATGTTAGCAGACTGTTAACCCTCAAAATCTTAAAATCGTACAATATCATCACAAAATCGTTCAATACATTATCTTAATAGTATAGAAATAAACATAAGTATATATAATGAATACACCTAAAATCGTACATTGTAAGCCAAAATCGTAAGAGTAAACAGGTCTGTGTTAGTGCTGATGATGATTTGTTATAAATGGCTGAGATTTCTTACTGACTGGCTTAAATTGACTAAGTTATTTAAATATTGTTTTTTTCTCTCTCTCAGATGATGGAATCAGATGAAATTGAAAAATATATCACAGAAATTGAAAAAGAAAGGGAGGAAGAAGCAGAAAAGAAAAAACAAAAAAAATGATTATTGGACTAATTTAAATATTTGATTTTTTTAAGCCATGTCGGTTATTTTGAGTTAACAAAATTACAGCAGTTTTGTTAAATGTTAACAGGTAGTTTTTGGCTACTTACCACCAGACCTTCTGTAAAATTTAGGTTACCGGTACTATTAAACATGCTAAGTCTCTAATGGTGTAATGTGAGTTAACAAATATGTTGATTGGTATAAATGTTTCATTTCTTAATTAAAAATTTCACATAAATTGAAAGGGAACTCCTGTTTTATTTTTGTGTTTAATCTGTCCTTAATAAATTTCCCAGCAATAGAAGTTATTGGTTTTGAATTTGAAGTATTGGTAAATATGTTTTGTCACATTCGTTGTCATTCAGAATCCCTAAACAAAAAATATATTATATTTATATGACCACTTCCTTTTAAATGATGTAACCTACTCCAGGTTTTTCTTTAAATGATAGATGTCTCAATGAGCATTACTTTATAATGAGTTACCTCATTTTTCTAAATTATCAGTGCTTATGTGTAGTTCTTAGCTGAAATAGGGATATTTGAATATAAATTATAACAGATGTAGTGTAGAAGTAAGTATTGTTATATGTGAAAAAAAAGTTCATTTAAATCAATTTTATCTCCACACTGTGGCACAAAAGTAATGCCTTGAGTTTCTCATTACCTGTATTTTTTAAAACTCTTGAAGCCCTAAATCAGTGTTTCCCACACTTTCGATATCTGTGTACCCCTGTCTATAATTTTCATAACACTGAGTACCCCCGTTAAAAAAATAAAATTGCATATACTTAAAAAATAAAAAACTATTTTTTCCTTTGCAGCGCGTACCCACACCAAACTCTTCACATACCGCACTTTGGGAAACACTGCCCTTAAGTAACATTAAAGAATTAACTAAGACAGAAGTGCTCATCATGACTAACATTTATAAAATGAATGACTACAAGTAATGGATGACGGACTATCTCAATTTCTCCTTAATTGGTGTAAATCTTAGCCATTCTTATACCAAAAAATGTTCTACATATGATACAACTTCCATATTGGGAGAAAATTCAAGGGGACACTGCAAATGCAACTGTTACAACAATTTTAACTTGAATTTGATGTGTAGTTGATTTTCGCCATAAAATATAAATGGTATATGCACTAGGGAGTCCCCCATATCTTGTACTACAATACTGGAATAAAAAAAAACAATTTTTGCCAAATATTGTGGATTTTTATTAACATTTACAGATAGCTCAATAGCCTTCTTCAAGTTTCTTCATTACCTAATATTAATATACGAATAATTTCATTATTATGACATTTTATAGTGTTGACCATTAAAATATTTATACCGGTATAACATAAAATAGAATGTATACAAATTATAAACAACACTTTAGACACTTTTGGAATAAAAATCATGTGTAATTCATCATTGATTACAATGACAGTTTTTCGTGGTGGCAACTTTGTAGAGGACAGCGTTAACCTTTTCATTTTCTCTACGTTTCTGATGCAGCATTAGATCATTATTAGGAGCAGAAATTACAAGGGGGGGACGGGGGGGGGGGGACGACAGTAATGTCGACCCTTATTAGGAAGATGCATACTTCACGAAAGTGAGTTCAATGCCAATGGACAATTCATTCAACTTTGTAGAGGACAGCGTTAACCTTTTCATTTTCTCTACGTTTCTGATGCAGCATTAGATCATTATTAGGAGCAGAAATTACAAGGGGGGACGGGGGGGGGGGGACGACAGTAATGTCGACCCTTATTAGGAAGATGCATACTTCACGAAAGTGAGTTCAATGCCAAAGGAACATTCATACTTTAAGTACTTTAAGTATATAGAAAATGAGTAAATGCTTTAGCCATTCAGTATGATGAAAAGCTTCAGGGCTCAAATGCGTGGAGGAGTTTCTAGTTTCTCCTACAAATATAATGACAAACTCAAAAAATTCTTTGTAATCATCTCTGGGTTGCATAGCTTCAAGTTTCCCCAACTGCGAATTCCATGAGACTGTCCTGGCCAAATATTAAACTGCCTACAACTATTTCATTGTTCGTAGCAGCACCAATGTCTTAACTATATTTATCAATTTGCTGTATGATTGGTTGAAGCACTTTCAGTACAGATGGGCAGGTCAGGACCAGAAGTTGCAGTCCCCATACTCTCACCAGATTTTCCAATTTTTTTTCTTGAGGCAGGCTCAACTTATATGACCTGTATTACTTGAACTAGTATCAAAGTTCAAAGCACATTGCCTTTACAACAGCAGATACTTAGGACTCTCTAGTACTGGATTTCAGCTTGTTAACAAGCAGCTGATTTATTCCCACATTCACACACCTAATACTATTACCGGTACTGAAAATGTTAAATATCATTTCTTCACATGTTGCACCATTTTACATATTATGACCATTTTTTTCTACTTGTTTTACCTTTACGGCATAAAAAAAATAATGACCAAATTTAACTTACCAGTACTTTAGTGATCCCTAATCATGATTCAATTTACCTGAAAATTTGCATGAATTATTTTCGTGTTTCGTGTAGTGGAACAGAGGACCACCCTAGTCTACAGGTACCGGTACCTAATATTTTTTATGAAGTGAATTGAGTGAACTTGAAGAAAATGTGCCTTTCATTATGTTAGCCTTTCGAATGTAACAAAAAAAAGAGGAAAAAAAGAGGTCAAGGTGCTGAAGATTATTTGTATGCCTATTTATTGTTATTTAACCTCAAGCACAAGATTTTACAACTGTTCATAACAAACATAATTTGTGAGAATATGAAATAGTTACTGTCAGTGTCAAAAAGGCAAAATCTGGGAACGAATCAACACAGTAAAATTATATTAAATACTATTCATGAAGTAAGACAATTTCATTGGATACCTGGAAACATAATTATTAAGTTTTTATTTCAATCAAAGGACAATAACAGAAGACTTACTAAAAACCAACTACCTTAAAGTATAAAATGATTTTTATTTGAAAAGTCTGTACACAATAATCAGGACTGTTTAAAAAAAAAAATATAAAAAAATGAATTAAGTATTTGAAGTACTTATGGTACTGGTACACACTAAACTTTTCATACTGACCATTCTGGAGGCTCTGATATGAAGTGTATGAGCTTTTTGGGGTTATAGTGAACCTTTTCTTCCTTATTTATTAATAGACATTTACTGTCTAATTTGATTTGTGACACTAATCCTTACTTTGTAATCTAATGAAATGCAATGACTACTGACTAAAATTGAGACACTAGATAAATTAACTTCATGTCTGACATTCATTAAAAAAAATTAATTAAAATATAGTTAACTAAATAATTCTATGGTCAACACTTAGTTAAATATCAATTTTAAGACACATACTTCATTGAAATGTACAAAAGAAATCATCATTTTACATGGGTTACTTGACCACCAGTAGGCAAGCAAGTTTTGAGAACCTTCAAATTTATGCTCTCTGAATAACCTTGTAAACATTGATGAGATTATTGAACATCTTATGCTGTGCAATTTATGAAAATAGTTTTTCTCTGCACTTAAACCCAATTTATAAATGATTATTTAAATGTTATTTCTTTTAAGCATAAAACAAATATTGGTAGCCACCAACCAAAAACACTTTTATGCCCAAACTGCTGAAAACAACATACTAGGTAATAAAATTCACACACCTCTATTATCATAACCTTAAAAAATAATAAATTTTTGTCTGCAATTACAAATATGAAAATTTTATTCATTCTTAGACACTTAAACGGGAGTAAGAACAAATGTATAAAAAGCTTTCTTTACTTAGATCCGCATATTAGAAAATTCAAGATAATACTTAAACACAGGGTTTAATAAACGAAAATATTTAGCTACAACTACAAAGTGTCTTTTTTTTAAAATTACTACATTTATTCTTTTTAACATATGAAAATAAATGCCAAATATTTTTTTATCTCCCCACTTCTTTCACGAATGTCCAATTTATTTTAAATAAAAAAACTACTGAACAGTTGTATATTGGTCTAATGTTAGATACCATCTTAAGCACAACTATTTTGTTGCAATCAGAAATATCAAAGTATTGGCATGCTGACAATTTTAAGATCAGGTTTACTTGTCTATGACCAAGTGATTTCATATTTATTTAGCAATGTCCTTTAAATAATATTTTACATTAAAAAAAATGAGTAGAACTCTATTAAGCAGCTGTTAAGTGGGGTAAATATTTCTTTATCTTTCTTTAAAAAAAAGTAAAAATAGAATGCAAAAGATTTACAAATTCCTTTAAATTAACTTTTATCAAGGACAGACCTACTATTTCTGGTATCAAATATACAATCAAAAAATAAAAAAATTTTGAAAGGAAATAATTTGAATCTACTACGGTGATGTTTAAACCTATTTTCAAAATACTCAAAAGAAGAATGTTACATGTACTGTAAGACATTAACAAGGAAAATAAAATCTAAACAATTTGTCATAAAGCTAATTGATTGACTTTTGGGTAAACTTCTCCAGCATCTCAAACTTAAAAAACTTATGTAAGAAGACATAGTAGTAAAGATGCCAAATAGGTGTCTACTTTACACCTCCACGTCAGTTTCTTTAAAAATACCTCGTTAGTTACATAAAAATGACTGTTTTGTTTTTGATAGAAAGGGTCGACATGGCATATTATTACAACGTACCATACAATCAAGTAACATATAATCAATCATAAAGTATTTCCTGTAAATAAACCCTTTAAAAATAAGGCATAATTAATAAATTAGAATAATTTTATTCAAATTCCCGAAAAATTAAATGAAGTATTAACTAGAATTATTCATCCTAATGAAGACAAATACAATTTTGATACTTATTATTTTTTAAACATGAGAATTGCAGTTAATTTTAAAACATGCTACCACATAAAGAAATATGAATAAAACAAATTTAAATCAGTCTCAAGAATAAAACCTAGTTGGGGACAAAAATCAGCATTTCTAATTAGTACAATGCACCCTCTGAATAATAAAATTATTTTGTGTTGGTAGATGTTAAACCAACAAGGCTGACAGCATGCAGACCAAAGTATAAATATGGTAAGACAACCTCAAATTATTGAAGGGCACACTATATAAGTTGTTTCATATAAAGTATTCTACCTTCAATGTAGATTACATGTTATGTATAACCAATCTAAAAATGTCATGAAAGATAAAAAATGAGTTGTTAGCAGGCTTGAGCACAAACGTCTGAGAAAATCCCAACACCTTGTCATTTTCAGAGTTGTTCTGTAGAATTTACAAAGTAAAAAAGCAATGAGATCATACAAATTTATAATTAAATATTATAAACAAGATGCAACATCTAGCGACCTAGTGCAAATCAGTAACTCACTTGCTGATAACTGTTTAACCCTTTAACTGTCATAACGTTAGATGATAGGCCGTTATTATTGGCTACTAGCAAAATGGTCATTAAAAATGGGAATGATATAATGTATATTGGCTTATCAGAAATCACTCTATACAAAAGAGTTTGCTTCCTATTTCCATTTCTATCAGTGTGTTCAGTGTTAATGTGCTTTTATCAGGGCTTGTTTTGTGATTAATATGGTGTGAAATTCGCTAATCTATGACTGCTCTTAAGTCTGATGCTGAAAGGGTCACCCTCTAGATTGCAAATGAAAATCAAGACAGCCTTTCATTATTGGAATTATTTCAAATCAATTAAAATGTAAGATTTGACATATTCCAGCTGCTAGTAAGGACAGTATTAGTTCTAGCAGGTGATGGTGACATAAGAGTCGGATATTGACAATTTCAGCCCTAAGCTTAGTCTTATTGTTACAGATTAATTTGTTTGGGAAAGGCTGGAAATTGAATTGAAAAAAAAAAAGATTGGATCCCAAATACCTACTCTAAAGAGATTCGAAGATATTTATCTTTGTATATGTTCTGGATTATTAATTAATAAAAAATGGATTTAATAATTTTAACCGAAATGGAATTCATATCAGAAAATGATGTCTGGAGAATCCTTACAAACCAAATTGAACAAAGATCCACCAATAATAGCAACAATAAAAAAAAAAAGGCAGACAGCGCTGGGCAGGATATATTAAAAGGATGCTGGATTGTAGAGCAGCAAAAGTGATATACAGGCAGAAGGGAGGCAGAAGCCTCACTGGTCGTCCAAGACTGAGATGGATCAACGATGTAGAGAAGGATTTACACCAGTTGGGGGTTCACCCATGGAGGCGGAAAGCCATGGATCAAACCGAATGGAAGGATGGTGTATAGCAGGCCAGGGTCCTACATGGGGTGTAGCGCCACTGATAATGATGATGACTTCAGAAAATGTATCCTTGGAAGGGACTCTGAATTCATCTAGGTATGGGATTTAGTCATTTTTGAGAAGGCATAAGAAAATGCTAAAATTGGTTTGACAGGTACAGGGTTAAAAATTTGGGAACCACTGTTCTAAACCATAAAAATTACACTATTTAAAAAATTTATCAACTGGTTAAAGCTTAATGAAACAAATTTAAACAAAAATACCTTAAGTTGACCAATTACATTGACTAAAACACCTCCATCCATTGTAGGTTGACAATCTATTGTTGTAATTTGTCTAAACATGTTATCAATGGGGATAGTCTGTGGAAATGATTAAAACAGATTGAAAACAAAAAGATGTTTCTAAAAAAACAAAAACCTTTTTCATTCCTTAGTATTAATAGTAATAATGCATTGTGCCGGAACTACATTACATTACAGATTCTTTTACCAGTATTATTTTATTTAACTTAAAAAGCATTATAAGTACATTTGAGTGATTGTGTCCTCTTGCGAGATCAATTTAGGTAGAAAATTTACAATAGATCTAAATAATCTCTATGAATATCTATTTGTGCAATTATATAACAACTTACATTTATTAAAAATCTACAAAATAAAATAGTTTTTGAGTTTTTAAAAAAGATTTATATCCCATGTGTACCTTCATTTTTTCTGCTATTGCTTCAATTCCCTGGAACTGCTGGCCTTCAAACGTCAACAAGGCTTCAGATGGCTGAGAAAAGTAAAATATCAAAGGAAAAAAATGAAATAAATTATTTTCTATTTCAAACTACCAGTCAATCTGCATTTATAATTTTACTGATTCTCAGAATTAAAGAACTTATTTATAAATAAGAGGAATGAGAAAACCAACTAGGGAAAAGGAAAGTGGCATTTACTTCACATACAAAAAAAAAAAAAAAAATACAATACAAAGATTTTAAAATTATAAACAACATTATTTTCCATTTAAAAATAAGAGGAATGAGAAAACAAACTAGGGAAAAGGAAAGTGGCATTTACTTCACAAACAAAAAAAAAAAAAAAAAAATACAATACAAAGATTTTAAAATTATAAACAACATTATTTTCCAAAAGCCCACCATCAACACACACACACACACAAACTTACCTTTTCATGCTATGAAAATAAACCAAAAAAAATAAAAAATTGTCTAAAACACAGCTCACACCCAAAATTATTTTAAATACTTTGATATTACTAGTATATGAAAAAAAGAAATATGTCCAGAACATAGATCAAAAACTTCCTTTTTAATGCAGACATTTGTAAAGAGAAAATAAATGGTGTGCATTCAATCAGCAAATATGAAAACAATATTTTAGTTCATAATAATTATAGAAAGGGTTGATGCCTGGGGAGTCAAAGGCGCCAAATTTGCAAAATCAGTTATCCATATTATAGATTCTTCCTGGTATAACGATTAATATCAGTATGTGATTCATAAGTAGCTGTAACTTCCAAACTTCACTTATATTATTTTTGAGGTGTGTTTAACCATGGCAAAGTTGACATTCATTCTTACTACAGTATATAAATATCTGAACTGGTCACCAAGACAAAATCCTGTATCATTAATAACACTGCCCACATCCTTGCATATCATTGGGCCAATAAAAAATCAACTTTATCAATTAATGAATTCAATGCTGTCCACTATTTTAGATAATTTTATTACCAAAGCATTCTCATTTCTATATTTAATCATCAATCGACACTGGACTATAGTCAAATGCAACTTGCAGAGGGCACATGATGAGACATGAACTAGGGATTGCAAAGCTGGATCCGTTTTAGAAAATCTGCGTTTTCTGATCATTCTTGAAAATCACTCTGGGATATCAGGATTTAATCCAAAGTTTGCAAGTTATTTAATCTTTTGGGTATTTTTTAGTGAAAAAATTGGGCATTTTGTAAAATAAATACTTCAGTCGAACCTGCTGATCTCGACCTCGGATAACTTGCCAACCCCGTTATGTCGACGTTTTTGAAGTGGAACTGCCACATTCTCTGTTTGTCTTAGCATTTTCTCCTCTTGTTACGTTGGTTTTTTATGTTACGAACCATAATATCCCAAGCACAAAAGGCTGCCAAATTTGCCACTTAACCCCGGTTATCTCAATCCCCATTACCAATCGCTGGCTTTTGAACTCCGCAAGAAGAAATAGCAAAGAACATATAAACAAGGTTTTCATAATAAAATAATTTATTTATTTCTCAAAATACAGGACTTGCGTTTTAGAATGAACCTAGAAGTAATTTAAATAAATATGTTTTAATTCGATGATTTAAAAACCTGGTAGTATAATAAATGACCATAATTAGTGTGTGCAAAACGTCATGGGCAACCATTCATGGTCACTTGCTTAATGGCTATGCCGTGGAACTATCTCAGAGTTTCATTTATAAGAGTTTGCTGTGTGCAAAAGCTATTAAACCATTTAATTAAATAGTTATATGCCAAAGTTAAAAGTTCAAAATAAGTAGTCCCTAAATAGTATTTTAGTAATAAGGGGGATGCGTTGCCTTATATAAACTATACAGTCACTGCGTAAGACACAATCAGCAGAATGAGGTCACAGAATGTGGAGGCTTCGTCCATAGTAGAAAATACCAAACAAGCTCCAACTTGTGCCTCAAAAAATACTTAAGTTAAAAAGTTGATTCCAGTTTCATTCTTTAAATTTGAAATTTGCTCTAAATAACTGTAACCAAATCCACAATTTTGCCAAATTTCTTTTTGAACGCTCTGTGCTATATATTAAAACAAAATACTGCGTTTAAAAGAAATTTGAATCAAAATTTTAATGTGTGAACTGAAAATAAGATTCCACCAAATTTCCGTTCAATCAAATTTCCGACAACAAAATTTCCGGATACGAACTTTGTACTTGTAGTAAAAGGAGATAAATCATAGGAATTGAATTTTTTAAAGAGATAAAATATTTATATTCTTGTGAGCTAAGTAATAATCTGTAAGCAGTTGTAATGTATGGCAGGTTAGGTTTTAGCAGGGTTGCCAACCATCTGTCCTTTTATGGTAAGTCAGTAAAAATTTGACTTAAAATGTCTTCAAAGAACTTTAGAATGTTCTAAAATGTGTTAGACGGGAGGAGGTAAACTTTGTGTAGGACTGTGATGGCTGACAGATTGACATCAAAATAGAAATAAATGGACATAACTGTAAAATCAAAACTTAGGTTAACTGATTAATTTATTGTAATTATAAATATAAAGTTAACAAAAGCCAAAAACGGCCAAGACAAAAGACATAAACTATTATCCCTTAATATCCTACCTTTACAAATATTGCATTATAATGATAACGATTAAATTTAAACTATAATTATGGCGCCTCGGTAAAGCAAAGAAGGTTACTATTAAATTTGTATCAGAAATAGGAGTTGGCACAGAAAAATCTGAGTTTTTTTAAAAAACTTTTTAAGAATGGTGATAAATTATTTATAAAGGACTATTTTGTCTAAAATGTGTGCTGTTTCAACCTTATAACTTCAGAGTACATCTTGATCTAGTTTCCGATAGTTGGTTTACGATTAAACAATTATTGTGACCAAGGTGACAGGTCTCGGTGGTGAAATTTGCTAGGCAGAGGTGGGAGCAGAAGGTAGGGGATGTCTTCCATGGTATATAGGTCTCAGAGTATCGGAAGTTCTCCACTTTTACATAACTCTTGGAAATCCTAGGTCAAAACGATGCATCATTCACCATATAGATTAACTGGAAAGTTAAGGCAAGCCCTTTTCATCTTTTATATACCAATTTAGTAGGGGTGTGCCGGATCCGTTTTTTCCAACCGGATCCGGATTTTCTTATGCGAAATCCGCCGGATCCGGATTCCGGAACAATCCGGATTCCGGTTTCTCCCGGATTCCGGATTTTGGTACTATTGGTAGATACTTTGGTAATTCAAGGTAGACTACTACTTTTTGTGTATGGGAATTCGCAATCGGCGCCAAAAAATCCGAGTTTTTAATTTTCCGATGTGTGTGTCTATTTATTATTAAATTAGTGCTTTCGATATAAATTTGAGTTCCGTTACATTTGGATAAGTGTCTTACGAGAGACGCCATGTTTCTACGCGTTCGCAGCAGGTCATGCAGCTCGCTCAACCTAATTTTGCCATGGGGTTGGCCACGCCCCCTTTTTAATGGCGGAAGTTGACGATACTTAGGAAATATTAATTTGTTATCACTATTTACATCAAAATAATTGATAACTTGTGTTTCAGAATGCATTTTAAAGACATTTAAACTGGAGAGTTTTAATTTGAGCTTTAACAACCCGGTAGAATCCATATTATAAATGATCAGAATTTACCGTGTGCAACACGTTGTCATTGGCAACCATTCACAGCCACTTGCATAACTGTATCGTAGTACTACCTCAGAGTTTCATTCATAAGAGTTTGCCGTGTGCAAAAACTATTAAACCATTGGTCAGGGAAAGCTTTAATTAATTATTCATGTGCCAAAGTTGAAAGTTTAAACTAAGTCTAAACAGTATTTTAGTGATAAGGCAGGGAATGCGTTGCCTTATATAAACTATATAGTCATTGCGCATGACGGGATTGGCGGAATGAGATCACAGAATGTGGAGATGCAGTCCATGTTAAAAAATGACAAACCAAGTCGTACTTTAAAAATTCATAACTTTAAAGCTACAACAGCTAAAAATATGATTTTGGTGTTATAATTCTTTAAAAAATTACCTCTTTTCAACTATGCCATTGGTTTATTTTTACAAAAAGTTTAAATTTTCTTATCAAAGTCCCTACACTATTGGCCACTATTAGCGGTGCTGACTCTAGCCTCTGGTATGTTCGGAATATTAAACATTAAACAAGCTCAACGCTCGAAACAATCGATTAATGTATCGTGATCGTGTGGAATTCGGGAAAGAGAATTACTTTTATTTCAGATTATGATCCGGTGAGTCACAAAATCTGGCAAATTCCGAAATCCGGTATATTCCGGATTCCGGATACATGTAAATCCGGCGGAACCGGATTTCACAGGATAGTGCAAAATCCGGCGGAACCGGATTCCGGCACACCCCTACAATTTAGTATATTTTGAATGATGTACATTCGTGCAAATATTAATAGCGCTATACTTCTCAATGTGATTATATCAACACTAGGTAGCTCATTTAATTCCTGTGGATGCAAGCGGTGCCCCTTTCATAATACATAATTCCAGTTCACATATTCTATAATACCAACAGAAAGCATTTGCCCAGTTCTCTTTCAATTTCGCACACAGGGGCCATCGCGTCACAGACATAGGCGGTCTGAGCCTGTACTTGACAAGACACAGTATAAATCTATCTTCTAGTTGCAGTTCCGGTATCAAAGAGGATAAATTCGAAACCTCATGCACTACCTGCTGAGAAATCAGTAACTGTCATAATGGTATTAATTCCTGGGATGGGCATCGTCTCTCTGCTATTACGTCAATTTTATCACAGAATGAGTTTTATAATTTTCTAGCAGACAAAATAAATTTAAACAGGAATTCAAGTAGTTGGGTTAGGAAAATGAAATGAATGAGAAATATATTTTGGGACACTCAACTGCAGAATTAAAGTGAAACCATTTATTGTAGGTGTAGACACAGTTTTAATGAAAGGAAAATAAGGGTCCATGACTCATGGTGTCTGTCTAAGCCTCACTTTAACCACAATTAGGGCTGTGTGCACACATTGTTTTGGGTAAAACATCAGTCAATTATTTATACCATTATTGCATAGTAATCATTTCTCAGTTTCATTCAAAATTTTAAGGACATGTGGGCAAAGAATGTTTAATTAATTGATTAGTAATGTTACAAAATTGAGAGGTCAATCAATAGAAGTAGTTCCTAGTCAATTACCAGTAAGCATATATAGCCTTAAACAACAGAATAGGATATATTTAACATCTTATCGATAGTGAAAATCAACAGCCATACAGATTATACAACCAGAAATTGCTAGAGTCGTAATTTATTTCTATAAAAAATTTAATTTATAGCATAGAATTATTATTAATCCTAGAAATTAGTAGCAGATCAAAATACCAAATGAAAAAATGAGTTATAGCAAATAATGAGATCAAAGTCAAAGGAGTCTGGACAAAAAAGGTGAAGTGCAGAGTTCATGGTAAAAAAAAGGATAACCACAATCACAAACGAACTCACACTTTAAAATTTAATTTAAAATTCTTAGCTCAAAATGTACTAAAGCTAGAAAAAGTTGATTTTGGTTTCATTAAAAAAAAAAACGAAGTGTCTACACGTCCGGCGCGCCGGACATGTAGTGCGCAAGATATACGTCCGGCGGCTTGTCACGTGACCGCCGGACATGGCCGGACGACTAATAGTTTTTATAATTCCAAACGAAGTACGGTTTAGTGCAGCTTGTGTGGTCTTGTGGTAGAGTGGTTGCTTGACGATAGGAAGGTTTGAGGATCTATACCGGGAATAGCGTCGTTTTTTTTCTACCCATTTTAATTAAAAATATTTTTTATATATTTATATTAACATGTTCCTCAGCAACAGTAGTTTCATGAGAAATTTTTACATATTGTAGCAATTGAAATAATTTAAAATGAAATCTTTTACTTTAACTTTTATTGGTTGCCTACGCCTACTCCACAGTTTTTTTTTTCTATTATTTGCATTCAAAATACTCAGTACATTACTTGGTAGAGAAATAGATTTTAAAATTAACAATAGTTTTGAATTATTCGCAGTCACGTGACAAGGCTGACCGACAAGATATCTCTCGCCACTTTGTTACGGCGGTCATGTGACTTGGTCGCCGGACACATAGTGCGGGAGATAGACGTCCGGCGCGCCGGACGTGTAGACACTGCCAAAAAAAAAATAATTTATATGAAGTTTTCTCTCTAGGACTATAGAAAACAAATGTAATACTTTAATATTTTTTGGGAAACTTTTTTCCAAGGGTACCTAGGTTGTTGCATTTTGACTTTATTGATTGAGATCTTTGAATAGTGAATAGGCCTACTTTGATATTTTGAAAACCAAAGTTTAATATTTATAAATTTTATTTTTATAGTTTAAATTTATGTTGTTTATTGTATTGTCTGCAGTAGAAGGCATCTTGCCAAAACGTCCACTTAATTGTCTTAGTCTTAATTTTTATTTTCAAGACTAAACATATCTTGTTCCACAATTTATTTACTTTACATGGCTTGAACGGAGTCCCTATTTAAAAGTATTTACTAATTATTATTAAGTTCCTAAAATTACTCACATGATACATGACGGCTACTTGTCCTCTGATTTCTTTATTGTCAAAGACACAGTAGTACTGTTCAACAAATTGTTTTCCAATAACATCGAAGTTGGGATTCATATTGTCTTTTTCGCTGAATCGTATTTTTATTTTCAGCTTCAAGTGATAGAAATAAAAATATATGAATTGTTAGGCGCCTTTCAAATACAATTTTACGCAGGAATACGGTACCGGAAACTCCCGGTTTTCGGTTTCTATAAAACTTGCATTTGGAAGATAATTGCCGGGATCTAACGAGATTGCAAGTTATTGTTAATAGAATTTAAAAAAAAAAAAAAAAAAGAATTGATTTTTCTTTAATATTTAAGTAATAAAAATAAAAATGGTTTTCGGTTTCTTTAAAACTTGCATTTGGAAGATAATTGCCGGGATCTAACGAGATTGCAAGTTATTGTTAATAGAATTTAAAAAAAAAAAAAAAAAAGAATTGATTGTTCTTTAATATTTAAGTGTTAAAAATATAAATATAAACCTTTGGGTAACATTTTTTTTAAACAGTTTTAATTGCCATAACATTACAAACACAAACTTGAAACATTTGTTTTTTAAAATTAAGGTTGCACAGTAAATTTAAATTAAATGGGAGAAAAAATACGACTAATGCATTTCAAGTTATGCCTTACATTGGCTGCAAAATTTGGAATATCAAGACCGCGATTTTAGTGTATATTTTTGCAGTAAACATCAAAATAAAATTTTAAATGTAATTATCCCTGCAATAAATGTGAAGGGAAAGTTTGAAAACTAGAATGAAATGACCTTCACATAGCTTAATTTCAGTCTAAAAATTATTTTCATACACAATTTTTAGGCCTGATTTTATCTCTCAATATGACTTAAGTGATTTGTTAAGTATTTTTAAAAATTGCAAAGTCTTGAAAAGTTTGGATTTAACGGAGGAAAAAACATATCCCCACCCCCATTTTTTTTTCTTTTAATTTATTCTGTTTTTATTTTTCGCCCAATTAAACATATAAAAGTTAATTATTTTTGTAGTCACTAACCACAAAGGAATAGGCAGATAAATTAAGTATGTCTTTAATGCCATTACTATTCCCGTTTCTTAGAGTATTTGTTAGTTTAAAAAGGACAACCTGGCACAAATGGAAAAAAAAAACTCTTACACTTAAGAATGATACACTTTTTTATAATAATACATAAATTATTATTATTTGATGTAAATAATCGTTTGGAAAATATGTAAAATTAAATCAAGCCCTATTCATTTTATGATTAACATGAACAATAATACAAATTTGTTCGTAAAAACGTGATTCACCATAGAAATATAATTAAACTTTTAAAGTAATATCTTGTTTATTTCCGTTTGGAAAATGGCCGTCTTAGGTGCTTATTTCCTTGGTACCTTTGGTATATTCTTGCGCATTGTGCTAATGAAAACTAATTTTCCTAAATGGCTCCAATCTAGGAATGAAGTTGTTACGCCTGTAACATCATGGGAAAGAGGTATGTCATTTTAGGTACTCTTTATTTGTTTCAGTCGTTTTGTCTTTCGTCTTCATTTACTCTTTAAATTTAAAACTTTTAAGTCTCTTTCTTAGACCTTAGTAGTCTTAGTTCTTAGTTTTACAGTGACAGGTCTCGGGTGGTGAAACCAATTCAATTTGTGGCAAAACAAATTAATTTGCTAGGCAGAGGTGGGAATTGAAGGTAGGTGATGTCTTCCATGGTAGTATATAGGTCTCAGAGTCAGAGTATCAGAAGTTATCAATTTTTACTTCTGGGTTTAAATTTAGATTTAGGTCTAGGTCCCTATTGATAGGGACTTCGGTATGATCCGGGAAGTGCCGAAAACCGGGTATCGTGATTTCGTTGTCAAAATGGCGACCTCCACTTTTTAATTTACCGAGGGTTGTGTTGTTTAAGATTTTTTTTGCTAAAGGTAGTTTTGTTATTAAATTCTATTTCTGCCCTCAACTTAAAGCAGACATGTTTGTTGTTCATGTGACACTTTTCTTTAAGAAAAAATTTGACAGTTTGACATTGAAAATTAATGGTAAATAATAGCTAATTTGACTCTTTCATAATTTTTTTTTGGAAAATATAAGTTTAAAAAGAGAAAATACCAATGTTAGATGTAGGCATAAATGACAACATATCCAAAATTCGTGAGGTTAGGACCCCGCCATGGGTGAGAAATTTGTGTGCAAAATTTTTGTCACATGTGTCCCAAAATTACCTATTATCGATAATGGACGTTTTTGTAATAAGCAACTTGATTTACACTGGAAATCCAGCATATTACCCACTAATAACTAATTTTAAAACAAAGCAACAATTTACTAGCACAAATACCTATTTATAATGTTATCTGATGCTTTATTTTGAGGTATTAATTGGGGGAGTGGGATAAATAACCCTAGCCTTAGTAGCATTGAGTTTATATATATATATATATATATATATATCCTATAAGCCTAGTATAGTACAGACCTAGTGACATCCCAACTTGTTATTGCAGAATCTATTATAGGTAAATGATATTTATGGCTATGTAATCATATTTTAATAAACATTATGATTCTTAAAATAAAATTAAAAATGTAAATATTCACTTACCTTTGATATTGAAATATCCTGTATTCACTCACAAATCACAATATTCCACAAGAAACTTATTATATAATATAATCCTCAATATTCAAGAAATAACACACTCTGCCACAGTGATCCAAGAATTTCTTAAGATATTATTAAAGAATAATCATAAAAGCTTGTACTTACCTCAAGCAAATGACTAGAACTTATTTTAATTTCTATCAACTGTCAAAGTTGATACATTTTGATTTGTGAAACAAGATTACTAACTTAAAATAAAGAATCTGCTATTTTTTTGGTCATATTCAAATGAGACTAAAAATACATATATAGAAAATGGAAAAATAAAAAGTATAATTGTCAATTTTAGATAAAGGAATCAAATAATCCCTGTATTATTATTTGATACTTATAAATGTTAAACAATTCCATTGAAAATTTGAAATTAATATCTAAAGAATATTATTATTGTTATAAAATTAGGGAAATTTAATATATATGTGTTTTTAAAAAATATATTAATTAAATACAAATAAGTGACGAGTCAGCATATTTGATACATTTTAATAAGGAAAATTATCAAGATTAAAAATATTTTTTTGCGGAATATTAACAAAAGCTACAATTGTATTTTGTGGCTTAATTTTGAAGAACTCATATTTAACTGTGTTCCCTGTAAATATTATATTTTTGTCTCATTTTATAACAAAGTTATAGGCATAAAAACAATAGCAATATAAGGGGGACGAAATGTGGAGGAAAATCCCATAGTGAAAAAGTGCTTTTGAGGTCCATACTAAAAAATTCATAACTTTTGAACCACTTGAGCTAGAAAGTTGATCTTGGTGTTTTTGTAAACCACTCTATTGGCTCTATACAGCTGTAGTAGTTTTATATTTTTTAAAATGTTTAGAAATTTTCATCAAAGTGCCTACTATTGAAAACTGGATTTTGAGCTCTGTACAAGTTTCTCTTCTTCCCCCATAAACAATATTTTAAAATTTTGTCTTGAAAGAGGGTATCCCCTCCCCAGAAAATTATGTTGACTTGTACAGTGAAATTGCATCATGATTGAAATGAATGGTTTGCTGGTACTTTTTTTCCATGCAAAAGACAACATTTTCAATGACTTTTTCTTGAGTCTAATGGGACCCGTGTCCGAATGGCTCTGCGTGTACGGGTCCATTTTGACTAAATGCTATTCAGATGTTATTTGTGGTTGTTTATTTTAGTTAAACTGAAGAATTAAGTTTACAAACATATAGTCCATTTAATTGTCTTTCATTTAATTTTGATACCTCATTTTGTCTTACAAACCCAACAATAATAATTTAAATAGTTTTTTAATCCAAAACTCTCACTTCTGGTACCCGGGTGCGAATAGCCACTTTGTTCTTACTAAGCAGCCTTAATGAAATTGTCATCAAACCTGCTGACAAAGGTGGTGTTCTAGTGATATGAGATATGGTAAAGTGGCACACAGACAATTAGAGGTCTGTCAACCAAGTTCAAGGACCCAGTCACCAAAAATAATTATATCAAGGAAATATTTATTGTAGAATCTACTTAAATCTGCCTCTGCTTTACACATTTGTCTTAGCGACCTTTGCGAGCCCTACTTCTTTCTTCTTACAAAAATAAACAATTCTGGTAACCCTCGCTGACCTATCAGCTGAGTTTGCTCCTGTCCAACAGAGCAAATTTCTAGATTCCTGGATGGTCTTTTCCAATTTCTAGATTCTTGGATGGTGTTTTGTAGTTGATTACCCTATATATATATCAAATATCAAGGATAAAAACTACACTTTAAATATATGTAATTTCCACTTAATATCTCTCCCATCAAGAAACATCTTCAATTTTTTCTGGATTTCTTGTGACATGAACAAAAAAGTTTTTTAAAAATGTACTGTTGCACTGATATAATTTTGCCATCTTCAAATGGCAGGTTTGATCTGGGTTGCTCTGTTCATGGAAGAAAAAAATTGCTTTTTTTTAAGATGATTATTCTACTACTGTGCTTTGTTGCAGAAATATCTTTGTAGGATCCCTTGTCTGACATCAGAACACAATAAAAATATGTATTTTAAAGTTAAGATTAATAGTCACAATGGAGGTTTTATCAGATCAAAAGATGTTAACTTTGTGTTCCCTGATTCCTTTTTTTTTTCAGTTGAAGAGGGTTTCTCTTTACAAAAGCAGTTTATTTCACCATACTCAGGAGACATGTTCCATGAGGTAATTTTCAGCGTTTGAAAAGGAATGGTTATTAATAAAATGAATTAAAACCAAAAATTTATGTCAACTATAAAACAGTTCATATATTTTATTTCAATTGGGTCTATTCCAGTGGTTGGCAAACTCATTAGTCAAAAGAGCCAAAAAGTCAGCAGCAGGATCATAAAGAAAAAATTATAGGGCCAAATTTCTTTTCAAAAACCTTTCAAGAACCATGTTTTTCAGATTCAAAACTGATTTGTGGCCGATAGCCTAGCCGCACCCAGGTCGCTAAAAACCACTGGTCTAGTCTTATAATTTTAATCATAGCATCATGCTAAACCTTATTGTTATAAATAGCTTCCTTGGTAAGATATGTAATTATTTATTTATTGACTCTTTAATATTGAATTTATGAAATTACTTGTCTGTTTATACTTTTTTTCCAATTCCAGACACCTCTAGCATTACGTTGCTTAAAACTGGCATATTATTTTCCCTTTGATGGAGTCAAAACCTTTTTCATAGTAAGTTAATATTTGGTTTAAAAACAATTAATTAAATTTTACAATTTATTGGTCAAATTTTTTTACTGACTACGTCTGTTCTACTCAAGTAGATTTGTTTTTAAAAATGTAAAAACAATTATAAAAAATCTGTTTTATTATTTTATACTTTTTGTTTTAGGTGATTGACATCCTCACCATGATTTTCTTGTACAGAATAGCTTCTGCATTTGGAGACCAAATGGTAGTATTATACTTTTAGAAATAATTACGTCAGTTGTTTGCAGTTTAAAAAAAAATACTACTACTACTACACTCTGATATTTTGTGGTGGATGAATTAGTTAGAAACAAATTTATTAAATAAAAGGGTTCATAACCTTTTTGCAGTGCCACATTCCCTCTCCATTTCATAGCATATTTCTCTCTCTGTGGATAAAAAGTATATGGTCCTGTCTGAAACAAAAAAAAAAATTTTGCTTGAAATCCAATTTTCATATTTAAGGTGGAGAAATCTTAAAAGCATGAAAAATTCATACTGATATTAACAAGTATTTTGTTTTGTTGCTTCAAAAATGTCTGGGTCTTTCCGCACCCCAGGCTTTGCCTTGCCCATTCTCAAGTACTAAAAACTTTTGTTTTATTTAGAAAATACAAATTATCTTCTTAAAATCTTATCTGTCCTTTTTAACTTAATGATATAAAAAACATCTGGGCTTCTTAAATAAAATAGACCATCAGAAATTAACCAAAACATTTTTATAAATTATACATTATAATAACTACTTTTTTCCTACCATTATTTATGTCAATGTAAAATTAGAGTTACATTTTCAGTTGAAAGAGCAAGCTGCAGAAAAGAGTGAATACTCCCCAAAAGCTGAATCCCTTTTAGTAACAGCAAAACAGTTATCAATGTTACCATCAACCTTGATTGCTGTGTGAGTATGTCAATAATGTAGATAGAATCAGCACAGGGTACACTTAGTCTAGATCAGCGGTTCTCAACCTGTGGGTCGCGATACCCTTAGGGGTCAAACAACCCTTTCCCAGGGGTCGCCTAAACCATCAGAAAACACATATGAAGTAGCTACGAAATGTTGGGTTTGGGGGGTGTCACAACATGAGGAACTGTATTAAAGGGTCGCGTCATTAAGAAAGATGGGAACCACTGGTCTAAGATTGACTAGATATACAATAAAATTGAAATTCAAACAAGTCAAAGATTTAAAACTATCCTACATGTAACTTTAAAAGATCAGTGTAATTCTTGACACAATTTTTTTTTACTAACAAGACTCCCATTTTCATTAAAGAGCTTAAATGTGTTGATTTGTTTACAACTGAAGAAAAATTCATTCTTGTGGAGTGGAGTCTCATGAGCATTAGACCAAAGTTTGGTGGGTTAACATGTTAGCATTACAACAAGACAAGGTGTGTTAACTTGTGAGCAGTAGGCTTTGTTTTGTACACCTCTGCCTTAGGCAAAAGTAACTTATCCATGATCACTTTTGTTTCAGTGGTTCATCCTCATGTGGAGATTGGTGATACACCTTGTGAAATAGACTATAATATGAGTTCATGTTGCCATTTGAAAATGTTTAACCTGGTCTGATTGAAAGTTGATATATGAACTACTGTGAGATCTTTGTATAATTTTACCTGAAAATTTAACTTGAACATGAGTCTAAATTTCTTTATGAATAATTATATGTTTATGGCATCCTTCTGTCTTTGTGAATCAATTGGGTAGCATTTCTCTGCTGCATTTCTCACAGGAGAATCTTGACTCCTTGTTAGATTTGGCCACCCGAATTGTTCGTTCTTTTTGTTGCAAGAGCTTCGTTTCGCACATCTTCTGCCTTTTTGACTCCTTCACTCACTGCTGTTCACCAGCTGGAAAGTTGCCCAGCAATGGTCTCCCATTCATTGATTTCTATATGGGCTTCCCTCATGCTCCTTTTGCAAACATCCATAAATCGCAGCCTTGGCCGTCCAATAAGTCTTGTACCTTCTGCCAACTTTCCATACAGCAGATTCTTTGGAATACGGACTTCCTCTATTCTCCTTACATGGCCTAACCATTGAAGGCGCCTCTTAAGAGCGGAAAGTAGGCTGCACATTTTTGCACATTCAAAGACCCCTGTGTTCGGCATCTTGTCCTGTCATCAAGGGCATAAAATGTGACGCAGACATCTTGATGAAAGTTGTTGAGTTACTACTCATGACTAGAATATGTGGTCCAAACATCACTGCCAAATAGAAGCGTACCAAGCACACATGCCTGATAAAAGCTTAGTTTTGTACTATTAGACTGAGAGTATTCCATACCAGTTTATTCAATTTAGTCATAGTTGCTGCTGCTTTTGCAATCCTAATGTTCATCTCTTCATCACTGAAGAGAGAACTTAGAGATATTGGCACAAATAATAAATGTCGTTACCATAACAACACATATTTTTCCTCTATGCAGCTAGTTAACCACTTGCTTTTTTTTTTTTGCAGGCATGTGTTCAATCCATTCAGCATTATGACGACACTTGCCATGACAACTTCTTCAGTGTCCAATCTGATGACACTGTTGACATTTTACTATTTAATCAAAGGTAGTTTAAATAATATTTATAGAATTTTCAAATTTTTCATGAGAAAGGGCTTGTAACAAGGTTGAAGGCAAGGATGTAGAAATGGTTGAGTTTCTTGCCAGGCTACAATTGCTATCAGTTTTTTTATTTTTTTCTATGCATCATAAATTATTTTCGCAGTATACAAAGTTAAATATAATTAATGAATTTAGACTGTACTGTCACATTAGGATGCTGTGAAAATCACTTCAACTGCAAATACCCACTTTGACAACCCCAACTTATATGTGAATATTTACAGCAGGCACACATTAAAATCTGTAACAAAGTATCATCTAACATTGTGGTTAGTATAGTATGGTGGCTGGCAACCCGCAGAATAGATGAAGTTCTTTTTTTTAAAAAACTAATCTTTAATGGCAAACATTCTGCCTGCGGCTCCCAAAGTGTTTACTTAGTTAATGCTGGTATAACTTATAAAAATGACTCTCTCTCAAAAAAAGTAGGATTTAAAAATATAACACACTGGTGACCTCGATTGCATTTTTTATGAAAGATAACAACAAATATGGATTGATCTTGTCAAGGGAATTGCTATTTTAGATATTTCATAGTTTGAGAAAGTTAATTTTTTTTGTACATGTAATTATTCTTTCCTAAACAGGCAACAAATTAATGTGCACATTATTCCTGGCACTTTCTACATATCAGACACTTTACCCTCTTGTATTAATTGTACCAGTAGCACTTCATTTTTATAGGGTAAGTATATTGTTTTACATTGTTAATTATTCTTAAACTTTAAGTTAAAGGCTTTGAAGGGTAAAAAAAAATAGACAGGGTTGAGAATTAAAACAGCCCATAACTTAAAGTAATTGTAGAAATTAAAATAATTTGAATGATTATATTTCATCAATTTTTTTTTCTTCTCTTAAATTCTCATGTAAATACTTCTTTTACTGTTGTTCAATCTGTCTTTATTTTGTTAATAAAATAAAAAAACTTATATTTGTAATTTTCTCTGCCTAGGTGTTCTACAAATATATGCTATAATACCTGTTAAAAAACCTTTCATCAAATCAAGATTTGGCACTGATTATTTACATTTCTTTATTAGTTTGTTGTATAATTTTAAACTTTCAGAATTCCATATCATCAACTTCAGCACAATCTTTTGTCAGTGGGGAAGCTGTTTCCAGCTACATTATCACAAGTTCCATGTTTCTGATCCTTTTTGGATTTCTCATTGGAGTATCTTACGTCTTAGAAGGCTCATGGGATTTTCTGTTTTCAACTTATGGTTTCATGTAAGGACAAAAACCAATAAAATTATAGCTGCTTGCAATACCTGAACAATAAAATGGTCACAAAACTAGCAATATCTATAATTAGTTGATTCTTAATTAAAGATTATACAAACAATTAAAAAAAAAAATTTAAAAAAAATTTTTAAAAAAAGGCAGCCTTAAAAAATGTGATAAGGTTTCTCATTTCCTGGAAAATCCCAGGAAATTCCCTGGATCCCAGGATAAATTTAAATTAATTAAGATTATATCAGACCTGTTTACTCTTACGATTTTGGCGTACAATGTACGATTTTTAGGCGTATAGATTGTATATACTGTTAATTTTTTACTATAAATATAACGTATTGAACGATTTTGTGATGATTATCTACGATTTTAAGAGTTTGAGGGTAAACAGGTCTGTTATATGATAAAAGGGAATTAAAATTTATCAGGGATGGTTTTTATAATTGCTAATTTTAAGGCTATCTGAGAGGTTGTTCTCTTGCTACCAGTTGCTTCATTTTTCCCTCGATAACCCTAGTAATAGATAATGTGCTAATATAGGCTTGTAAAGCAATGGTTGGATATAAACTTTACACTCTATATGAGTTTTGTATTCATTGCAGGTAGCAATTTCTAGTTTCAAATCTGTCATGAAATATTTCCAATGTTTCTAACAACTTGTAAGATGGGTTAATACATGTTTCCATATATGTGTATGTCTTGTTAGGTGGATTTTGAGATTTAAAAAAAACACTACATGTGAAGATGTTTTGACACATACCGGTATTATAAGTTGCCTTAGTACAGCGGTCCATGGGAGGTGCCCTGTGAGATCACTGGCTGAAACATTATACTAAGAGAAATAGTGATTTTCAAAAGTTTTATTTTCTATTTCTTTTCTTATAGTATAGTTTGAGTTACAATTACAATCATGACATCCAATATGTATTTAATTATATTGCTGACCAATCCAGCTTTAATGTTTTCATTACGGTACTTTGTTTAAAAGCCTTTTATTTTCTTCAATTTATCGTGATTTGAAAACGCTTTAAAAAATTGAAACATTTGTGACAATCTTTGACCTGCTGAAATTTTAAAAGAAGCTTTATTTTTTTAAATTATTGAAATGTTTACTTTATGCATTCACAGCTTGACAGTTCCAGACCTAACTCCCAATACCGGTATATTCTGGTATTTTTTTACTGAGATGTTTGACCATTTTCGCACATTCTTTGTGTGTGTGTTCCAGATGAATGCATTTATATACACCATTCCCTTGGCTGTAAAATTTACGTGAGTAGCCTATCCATGAAAAACATTTGTATTTTTACTTTTTTTCATTCCTCGCACTTACCTCACAATATGTTGCTGCCCTGTCTATCCCTGGCTTCCAAAATAAAATACATAAATAAATGTTAAAAAGTCTGATTCTTGATTTCAAGTCACTGAATTAATTTTCTCATTTCATTGTTTGTTTATAATCCTTATTCATTAGTTGTCATTTCTGTCCTTTATCGTCTGCTTCAAATGTTAAAACCAAATTTTATGGATAACAGTAATGGGTCATCCATTTGTACATATGCAAAAAAGGTAAAACTTCAACAATTCCTACACCCCTATTGGACACATATTGGGGGGGGGGGCCTCTGCATACACACAAATTAGCTTTTGACGTAGGGCGCCTGGGGAAAACTTAAATTCGTCAAGTAGCACCCAGACTAGAAAAATACGAAAGAAACAAAAAAAAAGGTAAACATTGGACTCAATATTATTGTAACTAGTGCAATATCTAGCAAGTTCACTTGTGAAAATACAAAGCAAAAGTGTGATGTGACGATATTTAAAAAACATTGAATGATAATTTGAAAACCTTAAATAGGCTTTTTATGGACTGTCACAATTTCATATTTTTCGTTGTTGCAGAATTTGTAAAGAAATGTGTGCAAAGCACCCCCCCCCCCATGCACTCATGCATAAAATTCCAAAATCAATAACCCTCAGACTTAAGTTTCCCTTTAATTATCTCATTCCAAAGTGTATCAATTGTCAGAATGTTGTGTGTTAATGATTTTTTTCATAGGGGGGGGGGGGTTTGTAATATTTGATTTGTTATTCAATAACCCTCAGACTTAAGTTTCCCTTTAATTATCTCATTCCAAAGTGTATCAATTGTCAGAATGTTGTGTGTTAATGATTTTTTTCATAGGGGGGGGGGGGGTTTGTAATATTTGATTTGTTAGTGAGGGAATTTGGTCTAGAGATTTATTGTGTAATTTGTTGTCATGGGTAATGTGTGTTGATTACTTTTGGGGATGACTTTATTTTTTTTTTATGGATCAGCAACTATGCAACAAGTAAGCTTAAGAAAGGATTTAAACAGGGAAAGATTTTTGTGAAGGAGAGTTAGTAGTCGTCAGTTTTAGCAAAAACCAAGTTCTTTTCAATGTAGTATGGATTTGATATATGATATTTATCCTTTTTTTTCCTTGTTAAAATAGCACATTCGTATAGACTATGCTCAGCTCATTTATATACCTTCCTGGTATTTAATTTTTAATGTGTGCGTTAAATGTGTTATTTCTCCCCAGCAAAAGACCTTTATTTCTCATGTATGTTTTGATGTTTCTGACCTCCATATTCAAGTCTTATCCTAGCTATGGGGATGCAGCTCTATACATCAGTCTTCTGCCATTGTGGAAGCACACCTTTTGCTGTAAGTAAAATTATATTCTCTATACATATAATTAAAATAATGTCTTTAGAATACCGACATACCATTTTGAAACTCAATGAAAAGTCTTGATAACTCTGAAACTGTCATTACAAGTAAAACTATAATTTGAAAGGAATTAAATAATGTAACGCACTGCTTGTTGTGCTTCCTAATTTCCCTGATTTGTGCGGTCTTATGCTTTATTATCCTGGTTTCTGGTTCAGGGTGTATAGCAACCTAACTCCCAAATAAAGAAACCACAATTTTTTTTTTCTACTTTCATTACTGTTATGAATGTCAACTTATCTCCCCTCCATCAAACTGAAATGAAATTGTTTTGTTTTCTTGAGTAAATTTTTAATTTTACTTATCATAGATTTAAGGAACACACTGATGATTGTTGGAATGTTCATGTGCTGCATTGTGCTCTCCCCTATTCTGTATCATCTGTGGATATTTGCCGGCAGTGCCAATGCTAATTTCTATTTTGCCATTACTTTGACTTATTCCACTGCTCAGGTTTGTATGTGTTTATTTAGTAAATTAAAATTTGGTTAAAATTTAGAATGGTATATCATGGTAATTAATATATGAGGGAATGCATATATTTATCAGTTAAGATTAAAGCTAGAATTATTCCTCTGCTTCTTCAAAAAATAAGGTCTAGTTAATCCAAGTATAAAAAGAAGTACATTGGTTTCAAAATAATGTATTGTTATATTACAAATACAACACATAAATAGTAAATTACAAGGGTAATGCTACCGTTCGAACAGCAGTCACACTAAAAAGTTGGAGTACCTACAGTTTAACCCTTCAGCCAGAGGCCATGGTGACAGAGTTTCACACTCTCTTTGTCTGTGTATAGGGTGTTTATGTAATTTGGTATTTTTAGGTCGACAAAGACAATATATTAAAATGTGTGCAATTATGTTAAATAAGTTATCTTAATCTTATTTTTTAGACTATTTAATTTCTAGAGAAAAGGGATTTGTTAAATTACAACCTTATCAATAATGTTTATATTTTTTAAAGGCATGCAACCATGAAAAATGTTGACACTCCAAAGACATCAAATTACTTTAAATTTTAAATAGATGAAAACTTTCTTTGTTTAAGATTTTTTTTTAAATTTAGTGAAAGTCAGTTCATTATCATTACTCAAGAAAAATAAATCATAATTTCTATGTTAAGCTTGTGTTTAGAAGTAGAAAAAAATAGTTTGCACTTCTTATTTCTTTTCTCTATGATTTCTATATCTAGTTCAGGAATCCACTAAACATTAATTCTGTTCATTTTTCACAGATCCTACTATTCACAGATTTGTTATTTGCTTACATTCGATGGGAATATGGGCTCTACAATGGCAAAGATATTAGGAATCCAGATGGGTCTAAAACTCTTATTATTTTAGAGTGACGAATTTGTCATATTTTGATGTATATTATCTAATGTATTTTTGCCCTTCCTGTTCTAACATGTTCTCTGTATTCATTAAAAAATTGGGTACAAATAGTTTTGAAATGTTGTTATTTTATGTGTTAGAGATTAGATGTTTGTATTTCATGTAACAATCACCTTTTCAGGCTGTGAATTTTTAAAATGTCATGCAATCCCAGTTAGACATATAAAAAATTGACTTGACCTGAAATTTCAAGTTAGTAAGACATCAAAAACAGACTTTGCAGACTGCCTTATTCTCATCCTCTTCCCGTTTCATGCCATAAGAAATCCACAAGAGGATGACACCCTGTTCTTGTATTTATCTATGATCAGTTATAATATAACCTCTGCAAGAATGGTCGAATTTGCATTTATCCACATGTCATCAAAAACAGACTTTGCTGAGTGCCTTATTCTCATCCTCTTCCCCATTCATGCCATAAGAAATCCACAAGATGTGTCACTGATATTGCTTATAAATACTGTGGCCTGTTTTTGTTTTTTTTTAACCACAGTTACGTCATACTTAGATTCAAGTATACAATAATAATAATAAATTATTTATACACATTAAATAATGAAACAAAATTTGATCCAATCCATTTTATTTGTCCCCAAAAAAGGGAGGCAACTCTTGTTTCAAAGTTAGACAAAAACTTCCTGCAAAACCAAAATTTGCGGTCTCAGGAAGTGGAGTCGGCAATATAATATTCAGAAAAACATATTCAGCGGCATTAAGTTATCAAGCTACGTCTGAAAATTAAACCTGAATTTCACGTACGTTCAAAATAAAATCGTCATTCTAACTAATGTTAACCACTCACCACGTGATTTTAGTAGTCCAAATCCCACAACTCCAGACGAGTGCCGAAGCATGCCCCGTCCAAAATATCAAGAAGCCTTGTTGACTATCCTATTCACTGAATTAAGAATTACTATTACTTATTTACACTAGTAAAAAACATATCAGCTAATTATCAAACTGCAACTTTATAAAAAAAAATTGCTTTACTCTGATTTGATGGAATCGTATTATAGTACCTTGCCATTTATTATGATTTAGAGAGAGACTATTACTATTTATTATTGACAATAGCGTCGGTAATTAAAAAATGATAATGATGTTGTTTAGGTTGGAAGTCCTATTTAAACGGTTATTCTTTTATTGATTTCCATTAATAGTGCAGATGAGAGAGGTTGACTGGGTTTTGGTGGCATAGCATAGACATAGAGAGTGTGTGTACTGTATGATCACAGTTGACTGAGTTGACAGGAGTGCATATATAGAAATTTGTCCCAGCACAGGTATTGTATCATATTGGACAGATGGGCGGCTTATGGCTTATTCAAACATAAACCAGATCGGACTAAAAATTTTGTCTATCCAAATGATCCTAATGTCCATGCCATGCACAGAAAATTGAAAATATATGGATGCAAACACTCACAAAGATAAAGTGCTAATTGAAAAGACAGTTTGGCCAAGCAGCAATCTTTTCCCTTTGTATTTGCATAAGTTCATATTCCACAATCGTTTTGATTTATTTTTTTATATCATTCATTAAATTATTAAAATTTTTCTGTTGTATTTTTTATTTAATTAGGCCTATTAGCTGAAACTGAATTTTTTTTTTTATCTTATAAAAAGCACTTCAAATCGGAACAATATGATTTTTAATAACTGACCCTCAAGTGATAAATTACCCTAAATACAACTATACTATACTGTACTCACCTGAAATAGAGATCATCTATTTTAATGTTGAAGGCTGCTATTGTTTCTTCATTTCATTTACAGACCTATTAACTCCTACGCATTGGCCTAAGTAGCTACATTTTTAAGCTTAAGATTATGGCACTACAACAAGCCTAAAAAAGCTAAAGTTTCCAGAGTTTTTTTTTTGGTTACATTTTAATAAATAAATAAATAATTAACATTATTGAAAAAAAAAATTCTTTAAAAAAAAAAAAAAAGAATTTGGAATTGAAAGTACTTTTCTAACAAGCCTAAAAAAGCTAAAGTTTCCAGATTTTTTTTTTTGGTTACATTTTAATAAATAAATAAATAATTAACATTATTGAAAAAAAAAATTCTTTAAAAAAAAAAAAGAAGAATTTGGCATTGAAAGTACTTTTCCTTAACCAATCATTTTTACGAATTATTAACCTGAAAATATTCTCAACACTTTTTGGTTTTCACAAATGATTCGAGCTAAATTTAAAAGTTCAAATACGTTTTCTTATCCATAGACTCAAGTTTAACTGGTAGTGAGGGCACCACAAGATGTTGTTTCACTATTTTATTCTTTATCTTCACTTGTTTCTGGGTTCGCCTATGTTTGGGGGCTGGTAGAAAGAAGCTCATAGTCATCCATTGGATGAAAGAAGATTTCTAGCTTAGACCTCGGTACGAATACCAGTTACTATTTTACAATATTCCATAATTACTTGAAGAGATTAGCGAAAGAAGCTTCACAGACTCGAGTGGAAGGGGGGAAATACAAGCATATGAATATGAGGTGTAATCTAGACCACAGATAGGGGGGGAGGGGGCAAAGAGGGCACCCGAGGATTGTGTCAAAAACACCCCCTTTTCATTAAAAATATATGTCGAGTAATATTTACTTTTTTGGAGGAAATGGTGCCAAATCCAGGCTTTGTCGCGGGTGCAATTTTCAATAGCCATGGCCCTGCTTGTAATGATCAGTTTTCTTCTCTAACACTGCAAACAATCGAGAATAACTGATTGGCCTTTGTGGTCACTATCTCAAGAAACCAACCAGAATATTATCTTTTAGAGAATTGTGTTGTTAATAATGAACTGCCTATGTGCTTACCTAAGACCTTTTCTCGTCCTTAAGTTTAAGAAACAAATCACAGGACTATAACCTATGTATTTATTTTTGTTAACTTACATAAGTAGTTGAGTGGATTTCCTTACACAACTTGTATTAAGATTTTGGGATTCATAAACAAGACCAAGAAGTCTGTAGAACAATCTACATTGAAAAAGACAGGCAGAACATCCCTTTTACCTTTTAAAATTTAATCACATACCGGTACCAGTACCATTATGCTCGTATTAGTCTTATGGATGATTATAGTAATTTTTATTTATAATTTCATATAGGACTATCTGTAAGCCTATTATTTAAATTCCGGCAGTTAGGGTGTAAGACTGTCTGTAAGCCTATTGTTTATAGTAAATGTGAAGTTAACTCTTTTTTTTAACACTTGGACCCATGTGGTATTTTCTCAAAATTACCTGACCTGGTGAAAAAAGCCCTAGTATATATTATTTTCCTTTAAATCCAAATAAGACTCGTTTCGGCTAATTAGAATAATTTTGCTCAATAATGATGATTGTTATAATAAACAAAAATATTAATGATTTTGTAAACTTGCGCATCATTATTGTTTGTCAGCATACATTTAAAAAAAACTATAAGCCTAAGTATCACTATGAAGAGCAGGCTATAAAATATAGATCTGGCTTAGGGACAGGCCATAAATTACCTCACGCTATTTTTTTTTCTTCACAATCCCCCCCCGTCACAGTCTTTCACAAATCTTGGATTGGACCCCCCCCCTTTTAAAAAAAAAAAAAAAGTAGGTCACACTTTCAAAGTAAAAAAATTGTTTAAAAATTAATATAAAACACACTTCTTTAATAAACTATTAAATTTATAAAAGTGACATCTGCTGTCAGAATGCATCCGTCACAACAGAAAGTTAAATATCACTGTCAATTTTCAGGTTTTATTTGTATGAAATGATTAAAAAACACATTAATTTTGTAACATCACATATGAACTTTAACTTTTGTCCCCCTCAATCACAAACTGTCAGACTTTCATATCCATACCCACTCCCCCTTTTTTTTTTGTTTTTGGAGCATGGCATACTTTATGGACGGCGTCTTAATACAGGGATATTTTAAAGAAAGAATAATTCAATTTTATAATTTTAATTTACACAATTCTTGTATTGTACATTTTAAATAAAGTTTTTTTGCTTTCCTCATTATGTAAAGTAGATTGTATTTTATTTACTTGTATTTTTAATCAGTCGAATGAAAAATATGTATTACTTGCAGATGTACAAGCCTGTTACATACTTAATTAAAATGTATTGTTTATCCATGAGAATGAATAGTAAAATAGTATAAAATAATTTAAAGAACAAGTATTTTACGCAGCCATGAATGGCAAAAATTCAAGGCAAAAGATTTTTGATAAAATTTGTATTATTATTAAATTATTATATTAAAATTCCTCCAATTTCTTAAATGTTTATTATTAAATAGATATACATAAGTACAAGTAGCTACATGGTATGATTATATGGAAAACAACATTCACTAAATATATTTTGAAATTGAAGTTATTTTTTAAACTTACACTATTTTTCATTTGGCAGAGCAGATGGTTGGCATCCCTTCAAGCTGCAGTTGAAGATGAATGCTGAAGCAATTATTGTTGTTGGTCCAGTGCTGTGGAAATGTGTCAACTGCAATTTGCGACTGTCATGGCATCACAGTGTTGATCAACATTTGCTGTCAAGGCACAGATCAGGCGCTAACTCAAAGCTGAATTTAGAAAGCCATGAAGAAGGTTTTTGTAACATTGTTGGATGTGCTTGCAAAGGACAAAAAGATAGGTACACAGTGGTAGTGGATTCTGGAGAAGGTGAGATCAGTTTGACACACAAGAGTCCTATATCTAGCAGTACCACACCTGCTGAAATGTCGCTGTTGCAGAAACAAACACACTCACCTGTTTCCAAAAGTGAGGAGGTTGTCACAATGAATTCATCTACATACAGCTACTTACCAACCACAGTCTCTAATGCAGAACTGTCTTTTTTACAAGATAAGGAAATAACAGTCATTTTCACTGATGACAAACAAGAGGTGAAGGAGATTAGTCACAATGCATTAGCTGATGAGATTTCTAATGCTAATGTTTCTATTTTGCAAACCGCTGAAATTACAGGTGTAAGCAATGTTGACGGAGAAGTTGTATCATTTGAAGAAGAGGCAGCTCAGATTTTGCTTGACTTAGTTGAAAAGAGCAATGAAGAAACCAATAGATACATGGTGAGGGGTAAAAATGAAGTGCCCCAAACAGTCTGTTTGACCTTTGAGAAAACCAGTGATGATTTGCCCTCTACTTTGTGTTACATAGTTGAAAAAGAAAGTGAAATAACCAATCTGGACCTAGAAGAATGTGATTTAACACCAGAAATGTTATGTGGCCTGCCCAGATATGAATCCGTAGATGTTGATGATTATCAAACTCTCGATACCGGTAACCAGGAGGATGGAGAAGGCTTTGACGAAGAAGATGGTGGAGTCATGGAGGATCAAGATGGTGAAGTCGTGGAGGATCAAGATGGCGGAGTCATAGAGAATCGAGATGGTGGAGTTAATGAAGAAGAGCAAGATGAGGGTATGGAAGGTGGGCATTATGAAGGTGGGGACATTGAGGGTGTAGAGAGTGGACATGGTGAGGGCACGGAAGGTGAACCTGGTGAATGTGCTGAAGAAAGAGATGGTGGTGGGCAAGATGAGGAAGGAGGCGGTATAGAAGAAAATGAAGGTGGAGGCAGGGAAGAAGAGAGAGAAGCAAAAGAGGAAACAGAAGAAAGAGAAACACCAGCAGAGGGTATACCTCAAAATCTGTGTGGCATTGTTTTTGATGCAACAAGCAACAAATCTGAACTGTATGTTAGCAGTAAAAATGCAGTGCCTAAAAAATTGTCAGAGTTGGCTAAACTTGCACTTGGTGACCAGTCATCGGATAAATGTCAGAACGGTGAAACTGTGATGCAGCATGGCATAAGAAAGCTCAAAACTAATCCAGAAGAGTACTTACCTAAAGACTACTCAATTGTAGCACTTCACGGCTATCAGATTCCAACACGTTTCGCAGATGAGGGGAAAGGCTTAGAAAGTTTTAATTTAAATTACTTTCTGAAGGCCCTTCCGACTTCTATTGCGTCTATGCAGCTGATAAATTTTATAAAATTGCTAACCGCCTATGATATTAATCTGACCGTGCAAGAAGATGGTGGTTTCCTCTTTGACTACAACAAAGTTGACTCGGATGATGTTAAGAAAGCAGAAAAGCTGACTTGCTACTGTACAATCTGCACAAATCCTTTTCAATCCTTGGAGAAGTTCTTACATCACCTGTTGGTATCTAATCATGGGACAAGCCCTCACATGTGTGGCAACTGCCTTAAACTGTTTCACAATGCTTTTGCCTTGCACCTGCACCAGCTCACTCATCATTTTAACATGAAAACTCACCTGCCCTGTCTGTTATGCAGTTCCAAGCTTAAAGACTACAATTCTATGAGAGCACATATGAATATCCATAGGCAAAATATACTTAAATTCAAAGGTATTGAAATTCCATCAGCTCGTTGTGGAGAGCTTGTCATAAATTTAATGAACAGTAAATGGAAGGAGGTGTTTTTTAGCACATACAAAGTTTCAGTTGGCGAGCAGAAGGCTTTATCTATCCAAGACATAGACAGTGTTAAGAAGGACAGTATGGAGTGTGATTCTGACACCAATGAAAGCAAAATTTCAGCTTCCTCCACCAAGTCTTCATCTTCTACACTCAAAGGCAACCAGCAAAGAAGGGGGGACAATCGTGGCTTTTTAAATGTTGTCAAAATTTTTGCAACACAGTCACATAAAAATAAGGCCAGTTCTAAGGCTGCATCCAAACACCAGGAACATTCTAAAACTAGATTCAAGAGGAAGTGGGACATGGGTCGGAGCATAAGAGGAACCAGTGTTATGCAGCCATTTTGGAAACGCAAAAAAATGGAAAAGATTAACAAGAAATCTGAAGAACCCGAACAATCAGAATCCTTTGAAAATTTGGATGATTCATTAAGGAGACGCAGTAGCAGGGCCAACAAAGGGAAAAGTTCACAATACAAAGATTACACTACCAAGTATTATTAAATGCAATAAGACATTGTCATCTACATCTTCTTGATGACTAATGTGATCACAGTGAGACATAAAATAATGTATATTTTGTTAATAATGTCTATAAAGGTTTATGACTAAATGATATGCATGTAAAAGCAAGTGTTTTAGGATCCAGATATTTGATAGAATTGATAGACAGGCATTGTTGCCAGATAAATAAACTCTAATTCTAATACTTTTTTGGGGATAAAAAACATGGTATTCCTAAGAAAAATGAAGAAAAAAAATTTGCCCAGGACATAGTGGTAATGAAAAGCGTAACTAAACTCTGCAGAAACGTGTAAATAACAATAACTTCTACCCACTTTTATCCCGCAGAATTAAGGTTATTTATAGTTGAAATGTGCCTTTATAAATATCACGTTTAGATGAATCCACAAATAATGCATGCTTAAATACTTTATATTCTAATCTAATTGATGTATTTATGATAAACTGGACATGAATTAAACATTTTTTTGACAGAAGTAGACATCATTGCCATGTATATCCATGTGAAAATATTAGTTTAATGTCAACCAATTCTTTGTTACATTACTTACATTCATAATCATGGCTGTTATTTCTTACTTTTAGTCTTGAGTTTTCTCTGTTTCAAGATGTTTTATCTATTTTTCTTTCTTAAAATATGTTGAAGTAGTACAAATCCATTTATTCTTGACTTGTTCTATCTTAAACATTTCACTCTCATAAAGTAAGGAAAATATACAATTTTATTGGAAGTTTTTATTTTCATTTCTTACTTTGATACTATTAATAGTAATAGACTATTTCTGAATTTAAAATGACAAAATGTTTTTCACAGTGCCATTGTCCGTAAGCAGGGAGACAAGCAGTATCCTTGGATGAATCTTAGAAACATATATGACAGTGGTTCTCAACCTTTCTAATACCGCAACCCTTTAACACAGTGCCTCATGTTGTGGCGACCCTTAACCACAAAATTTTTATCGTTGCTGCTTCATAACTGTTGTGTATATGTGTTTCTGATGGATGGTCTTAGGCGACCCCTCTGAAAGGGTCATTCGACCCCCAAAGGGGTGTGACCCACAGGTTGAGAACCCCTGATATATGACAAAAAGTATTCTTTACAATAATTTACATAGCCAATTTAATTAAAGGCCATCCATATATTATATGACATTCTTTGAGGGTGGGGAGAAGGTAGTTGATTTAGGAGATTTTTCATGTGGGAAGAATCTTTGCAGAAAGTGTAGGTGCATTGAAATTCTGCCAAAAATCCTGAAATTCTGACGGTTGATAAAAAGGGTACCGGTATACAAATATCACTAAATTGTTATGTCTTGTAATTATCTCTTATTTAGCCCACATTGGTATGGTTCTGTGCCAATGGCATTATTTGTGGCATAACTATTTTGCTCGACTGAACCAAGGATTGTAAAATAATAAAGATACAATACAATATAGGTACCCATTGCTTCAATAAATGCTAGCTTTGCTATGCCAAGCAGCTAAACGGTGAGACAACCATTTAAATAATTTTTTAACAGGTTTAGTGACTTCATTTACTTGTACTTCACAGTTTCTACAATTGAAACAGGTGGTTATGGGGGGGTGGGGGGGGGGGGGGGGGGGGGGGGGGGACTGTTGAGAAAATAAAATATATGTTTATGAAGATATTTCCTTTTTGTTGCATACATAATGTGGATGGCCCCCTTACTAAAGTACAGTTATATACAGATTTTATGCCCTGGGAGGTACTATATGTGTTACCATGTGGTAAGTTTAAGTATACTATGAGTGCAAATAGTAAGATGATGTAAAGATTTCCATATACATATTAATATAAAGTTATATTTACTCACCCCAGATCATCAGTTTTGTTGTTCCAAAATCTACATATGAAATGCTAAATTGTAGTAAATTATTGAAAAATCGATAATTGAACTACTTTATTTAATAAATTAAATTTTTAAAAAGTGCGTTGTATGTATTAAGACATAGAGAAATTCACATAATAGTAAATGAGTCATTTTAATGTAGGAATTGCACATGATGATTTTCCTAGGTGTAACGACTATATCTGTCGATAATGATGAGTACAAAATAAAACCGCCGGCAAATGATCTTACATGTTCATATGTAAACAGTCTGCATGATATATTGCGCAGCCCGAGGGTGGACCAGTAAAGGAAGTAGGCAGACGCTGGGAGCAGAGGAGAAACAATTAATAATTAAGGCAAAAGTCAGCACATGTGTTGGGGTTTTACTGCATTTCAAAGTCTCCTTATTTAAGGACAAATCTATTTAATAGATTTTTTTAAAAAGAATAACCTCTCATGAATGCATGAACTGTAAGACTAAAAGCCTTTTAAAAACCACCCAACTTGGCTTTAAGTACTTTGGACCAGTGGTCCCCAAATGGCAGTCCGTGGACCTTCACCGGTCCACATGCCTAACGCTGCCGGTCCCCATAACATAAATATTTATTGTCAAATAGAAATAAAAGTATAAAAAAAAAAAATCCTACACCGGTCCCTGATAAAATGTTGAAACTTGTTCACCGGTCCGCCAAACTTAAACGTTTGGGAACCACTGCTTTAGACTACAACTAAAAACATGATTTTGGCATTGTTTCATTTTTAATGACCCTGTTTTCATCTAAAGCATATGCATCTATTTATTTGTTGATATGTTTGATTTTTTTAAATGAGGAGTTTGAGAACATTTTTATTTATTTTTTTTTGTGTGCTTGCTGGAGAAGTATTTTACTGTTGATGAAAACACTCAATAAACTATAAATATAATTACATCATTAAAAAGAAAGGAGATGATCTCTGAGCATTGTCTAATAATATATGTGTTGGAAAAATCCAACAGTGAGAATCAAATGTATGTCTAAGGAAAAGGAAAATCAACCGTAAGAATCTACGGGGAACATGCATACCCAGTACCTGAGTGAAAGGAAAGGTTGAAGTGCAATGAGAGATTATAAGATAGCAATGCAAGAACTAATGTGAAGCTTTAGTACCATTACTTTCAAGGCAAAACAAAGTAATGGAATTCTTTTCTCTTAAGCTTGAAGAGCATGTTTCTGCATGCAGCTTCTTCTACCACCGCATTATTAGCTGCTTACTTTCTGGCCATTAAAAATGGGGGCATCTTTCGTGGCAATGAGTATTTAAAATTTCAAAGTACCGTACCTAGGATTTATTAGCCCATAATTTCACCCAGCTGCTCCGAGTATAAAAAAAAAATGATTTTGTAAAAAACCCAACAATTCCATCTTAACAATTTCCGTTGGTTGCACTGGACTTAAAAAATGCCGCCCAGTTAAAGGCGCCGCTCGGCTCAGGACCGCCCCCGAGTCCCCCCCCCCCCTTTTTCCCTTAGGCGGTGTGACGTTGACAAGAGGACAACCTGAGACGAAGAGAGCGTCAAGAGCACACTGCTGGTCATCTACCGCGTGTTGGCCCATTTCTCAGTGAATTCCAGTCGTCTTGACTAACCATTGCCATTGGATCAAACCGTCAAGGACGACAGAGTGATTCTGACGGATAGAAAAAATCGTTATTTGCAAGCAAAACTTAACGTTTTATATACTTCTTGGCGAGAGGGTGCCTAAAGTCAAGACTTTGCCCCTGGCACGACCCTGACTGACGTGATCTCATTTTTTAAATAGATTTTCACAGTTGGGAGGGTGTGGTTTTACTGTGACACTGGCGACATTAATTACATCATTAAAAAGAATGGAGATGGCCTCGTTGGGGGGGGGGGGGGGGGTAAAAAAAAACCGACTGAGAAGCACTGCCGAAAAATATCTATACAATTTTATGTGAGTTTTCTCCTTCTTTCCCTGACTGCAGCTGTTTGCTTCAGCCGACCGAAATAATTGTGTCACAGATTATTATTACGGAGGACACATTCCATTGGGTGGATAGTTGTCACTAAGCTAAATATTGCTGTTGAGATATCTACCGAGTTATTTGTGAAAACACAAAGTAACGATAATGACACAAATCACGAAACAATTTGGTGATATTTTTATAGCATTTCATTTGAAAATAATCAAAACTCACAGATTTTTTAGGTGACGGTTGGCTTTATTAGGGTTATAATTAGGTTTTTTACAGACTAAGAATTTCAAGATCATTTTTGCAAATATTGTGCTTAAAAATGTGCCGGCACCTACTAATTGTGGCGAACATCCCCTTCCCCATCTAGGCCAAATGGGCCCTCCCCATTAAATTTAAATATTGGATAAATTCAAAATTTAATTTTGCATCATTCCTGTGGCGTAGCTAGGGTTTTTGCCACTTGGGGTGGGCCAAGCATATTACTGCCCCCTTTCATGAAAAACAATAAACTCAGCAGTGGACGAAAATGTCCCCTCCCCCACCCCCTTTCTTTTTAGCCCCCCATAGAAGATTTTTTAAAAGTGCCGCCAGGAACGGACCACCCCCTCTGCATCCCCTACCAACGCTACTGCATCATTCATTATGCACTTAATCGGAGAGCAAAATTATATATTCTTATTTATGACCTCTGCAGAAGCATGAATAAGATTTCTCACTACCACGAAATGCCTTTCAGATTGTGGCCAGGTTACATTTTGTAGCACATCATTAGACTCAAAAATATTTTCCACTTTTATGGATACTAAAATAGCTATTAATGATTTTTTTTTTTAAAGAAAGATATATTTACATTGAATTTTGTTGTACCTTCTTTCTCGTGATGCCCCAAGCACGTGACTTAAAATGCTTAATCCGGGCCTGATGACATTGCAGCCTAGCTTGTAGACTACCGGTACATGAATCATCATTTTATTAATTAATGGATCTCAGCTGACGCTGCATTATCAAAGCTTTATGTCTTTAAAAAAAAGTAATAATATGTTTCTTTTCCTTAATACTTTTAATGGATGTATTCAAAATTAAGTGAAAGACAAAGAGTTGTCTACTAGAAACAGTTAATTGGGTCGGTGAATAAACGACCAAAAAAATAATTTAAAAAATGTGGGTAAGAAAACATAGGCTACTCATCATGTGTCAGACATCACATTTAACAAAAGTCTGCCTCGAGTTCTCAGTGGAATATATAGATAATGTGCTAGGGCCCCAAAATTTGAATTGCCTAAGGTTCTTTGCAACGCCAATAATAGTTGCTTGATTCAATGATTGACTTGACTTTGACACTTGATGAGTTGAAGTTGCGGATGAAGGTGCAGGTGACACGGGGAAAATAGCAGAAGAGTGTATTTGAGGTTTTTTTTTATTAGTTTTTTTTATTAGTTCATTCACTCACTAAAGATAGGCTGGGGAGGCTTTTAAAACGATTAAAGGATTAATATTTTATTTAATAGACAAATAAAAAGACAAAATCACATGCAAATAGCAAGAAAGGGAAATAATTTCCATTTAAAATTCAAAGTAAAAAGTAGTCGGTCACTTAAAATACCGAACCGATTGTAAAGAGAAAACAACACATTTGACATTTAACATTGACTCATTCAGTGATTGATAACGTGTAGCGTAGCATTCAAAAAGGGCTATTAGATATTGCCATTATCTTATTTATAAAAGAAAGTAAGCATTTAAAATCCTTGGTGCCACATATAACATTTGGCTAAAACTGAGGACGGCTGCCACGGCGTCTTTTGTGTGTTTATTATACTATAATAATTATAGTATAGTTGCAGTGAATTTTTAATTAGGTTTTAGGTTAGGTAGAGGGATCGATTTGGGGGTCAGGTTAGGCATAGGGATCGATTTACGGTTCAGGTTAGGCATAGGGATCGGTTCAGGTTAGGCATAGGGATCGATTTAGTGATACTGATACATTCGTGAAATTCGATAAAATAGTGGCAGTCGGTCCTCCCCGTTTTTTACCCATTATTTGATCTTACATAGTATCATAGTTAACACTTTGTGTAAAAAATCACCTGCTGATAAATAAGGGTAATATAAGGGCTGAGTAACTCACGGAGTTTATTAAATGCTTAATTTAATTATTTATTTTACACTCACAAAATAATTATACAATAATGAAAACCCAACTTGAAGTTTCATAGAATACACTTTTACACACTTTATTTCAGGTTCCACCAAAAAGATATCAAACATGTTAGAAATGAATAAAATACAATACCAAATACATTTTCAAATATGACGGAAAAAGTATTATAATTACCCAACCAATGAAATTTTAGAATTATAATTAATCAACCAATAAAATTTTAATTCGAAACATTCCATCGTCATAGTAAGGAAAATTTAACTCAACTCTAGTTACAAAAACAAGGGGAGTAAATCCCAAACAGAAACTTAGCAAAAACACAAAAGATGTCATGGTGCAATCTCTTTGCACCGCCCACATATTTATATCCAGTGTTGTATTGAGTTATGATATTTATTAGAGTTAAGTATTTTTAAAAACAAAGGAAAATGTGGTCACACAAAGGCGAAGCCCATTACTAGTCTGGCGCCCAAGGACATCCGCGCCCCCCCCCCCTCGCCCCTCCTTTTTCCCTCCATTAACTATGTCTCTGTGGTCAAAATCTGTATAGTCTCTATAAATACAATTAAAAATTGGTGACATTGCTGATTGGAAAATAAAATATTTTTTTTTGTGTCATTTCAGGAACTACAACAGTAGTCATACAATAAATCTGAAATGGCATTTTTAACTTCTTTGTTAAATAAATCTCTTCAAAGAACACAAAGTTTTAAAGTTGGTCTTCAAAGCTTATCACGCGTTCTTTGTAGTCCAAGTGCTTCTATGTGTTCTTTAACATGCAAGAAAAGTTTCCTGACATTTGAACACCCGTTGAAAGTTTCCCAATTCATTACTGATAATCGCACACATTCATCTACAAACAGAGGACTCACAAATAACTTGATACGCCACAGAAAATTTTCATCACACAATGAAAACAAGACCCATGGTGACCTTGTTTACCAAGGAAGAGTTGGAAACATGTTCCGAGCATTGAAAATATTTTCTCTCTCAACCAGTGTAATCGGCCTTTCACTTCAACCTTACATCATGATAACGTACCAGGACATGCCTTTGAAAGCAGCCATCCCGTTCTTTGCAGTGATTAACATGTTTGTATTTGTCAATCCAATTCTGATTCATTTCATTGCAAAAAAATATGTCATGGAGCTTTATTTCAACCAGGAAAATAAAGTTTTCACTGCTGTCTTGCTGACATTTTTTGCTAGAAAAGAAATATTTACTTTCACAGCAAATGATGTTACTGTTCCTGATGTTCCTAACATGTTTGCTATGCTTATAGCTAAAGGGAGGCCAATCTTTGTCCTTGAAAATGACTTCACAGATATGGAAGTGTACAAGCATCTCATGGGCTTTGATAAGCCGCTTGACTTAAGTAGCATAACCAAAGACTAACTTTTTTAAAGTAATGTTGAAAATGTATGCAGTGTCATCTTGCATTAGTTACAAAAGTTGTCAATAAAATTATTGTTTATATTTCTTCTTGCTATATAATTTTTAAACTTTTAAAAGCAGTGCTCTTGTTGTGTCTTTGTATGCTCTGATCTTTATCTGTCCCTTTAAATGCAGTGCTCTTGTTGTGTTTGTGTATGCTCTGATCTTAATCTGTCCCGTAAATGCAGTGTTCTTGTTATGTTTATGTATGCTCTGAGCTTAATCTGTCCCTTTAAATGCAGTGATCTTGTTGTGTCTGTGTATGCTCTGATCTTTATCTGTCCCTTTAAAAGCAGTGCTCTTGTTGTGTCTGTGTGCAGTGTTCTTGTTGTGTCTATGTATGCTCTGATCTTTATCTGTCCCTTTAAAAGCAGTGCTCTTGTTGTGTCTGTGTGCAGTGTTCTTGTTGTGTGTATGTATGCTCTGATCTTTATCTGTCCCTTTAAATGCAGTGCTCTTGTTGTGTCTTTGTATGCTCTGATCTTTATCTGTCCCTTTAAATGCAGTGCTCTTGTTGTGTTTGTGTATGCTCTGATCTTAATCTGTCCCGTAAATGCAGTGTTCTTGTTATGTTTATGTATGCTCTGAGCTTAATCTGTCCCTTTAAATGCAGTGATCTTGTTGTGTCTGTGTATGCTCTGATCTTTATCTGTCCCTTTAAAAGCAGTGCTCTTGTTGTGTCTGTGTGCAGTGTTCTTGTTGTGTCTATGTATGCTCTGATCTTTATCTGTCCCTTTAAAAGCAGTGCTCTTGTTGTGTCTGTGTGCAGTGTTCTTGTTGTGTGTATGTATGCTCTGATCTTTATCTGTCCCTTTAAAAGCAGGGCTGTGCAAAGGCTGAGGCAACCAAGTAAATCACTCGGGGCACTTCCCGCATGGGAGCCACCAAAATGGGAATTTTTTTATTTAGGTACAGTTAGATTTGGTACAATTATTTAGACTTTTAGCGGATACCCAAAATTTGGATTAGTTACAGGCCAAAAATGCACAGCCCAGCTTAAGACTGTAAAACTTTAATTGCAGAATGTGTTTATTAAATTCTTGAATTATGAATATCCATTAAAAATTCCTTTTACCTGTTGTCAAACTTTATTAAGTTAGGCTGCATTAATTAAAGTATGGATAATGCATTACCAGAGCCAGATTATCTTTAGTGCAAGGAGCCCCAGGCTTAAAAGACCCTGCATATTATTGTCTGAAATTGACAAGAAGTAAAGTTACCATTACCTATACTTCATCAAATCAAGTCTTGAAAATATCTTTATTCCAATTCTGTGCGGGTACCCACCGGGTAGAACTACACCTTACAAGATGCCGCTTAGTCATGGTTCACAGCAGTGCACACCTCCGTACAGGTATAAACAGGGCTTATTTTTTAGGAAGTAGCTGGGGGCCCCGGTATTTGGTTTACCCAAGCTTGTACGGTACCTTACAACAAATTGATTACAAAGTACAATCCGTTAGGTACCAGGTATGCCTTACATGGTGATGATATACTTACTTACAATAATGCAAATCAAAATAATTTCAAAGACTTATGATGCACTGTTCAGTTGCAGTCTTGTTAATGGAACATACAAATCCTCTGCATCATCATTTTTGTTTTTGCTTACCATTATAGACTATAGGATAAGCAAGTCTCAGGTAAATAATGAAAATGGCACACTCAAAACAAAAAATAAAAAATACTCACATAACTTCAGTTTGTCAAGCACCAGGCTAATATAGGCCTGCTATATATTTTATAAGGTTACTATTAATAATAGTAATTACGAATTGTAGGCTATACTTAGGTAATATAGCAATATAGTTAATACTGGTCACTACAGGTAATATAGCAATATAGTTAATACTGGTCACTACAGGTAATATAGCAATATAGTTAATACTGGTCACTACAGGTAATATAGCAATATAGTTAATACTGGTCACTACAGGTAATATAGTTAATACTGGTCACTACAGGTAATATAGTTAATACTGGTCACTACAGGTAATATAGCAATATAGTTAATACTGGTCACTACAGGTAATATAGTTAATACTGGTCACTACAGGTAATATAGCAATATAGTTAATACTGGTCACTACAGGTAATATAGCAATATAGTTAATACTGGTCACTACAGGTAATATAGCAATATAGTTAATACTGGTCACTACAGGTAATATAGCAATATAGTTAATACTGGTCACTACAGGTAATATAGCAATATAGTTAATACTGGTCACTACAGGTAATATAGCAATATAGTTAATACTGGTCACTACAGGTAATATAGCAATATAGTTAATACTGGTCACTACAGGTAATATAGCAATATAGTTAATACTGGTCACTACAGGTAATATAGCAATATAGTTAATACTGGTCACTACAGGTAATATAGCAATATAGTTAATACTGGTCACTACAGGTAATATAGCAATATAGTTAATACTGGTCACTACAGGTAATATAGCAATATAGTTAATACTGGTCACTACAGGTAATATAGCAATATAGTTAATACTGGTCACTACAGGTAATATAGCAATATAGTTAATACTGGTCACTACAGGTAATATAGCAATATAGTTAATACTGGTCACTACAGGTAATATAGCAATATAGTTAATACTGGTCACTACAGGTAATATAGCAATATAGTTAATACTGGTCACTACAGGTAATATAGCAATATAGTTAATACTGGTCACTACAGGTAATATAGCAATATAGTTAATACTGGTCACTACAGGTAATATAGCAA